GGCTCAGATATGGAGGCAAATGGGAGCCAAGGCACCTCGGGCAGCGCCAACGACTCCCAGCACGACCCCGGGTAAGTTTCCAGCCGCTGCCCACCGCGCCGCCTCGGGCTCGCTCTCCTTGCAGCGGCGGGGACGGCGGTGCGCGGAGCCGGGCATCTCCCGCGCACCCCCCCCGTGGAAGTTACACACCTTTGGATTGCATTTCGCCGTCACCCCCCCCGCCCCTCCCGCGCACCCCCCCCGTGGAAGTTACACACCTTTGGATTGCATTTCGCCGTCACCTTCTCCCCCACCCCACCTCCCGGCTCTCGCTCGCTCGCTCCCCCCCGCTTTCCTTTTAGCTTTTGTAAGTTACACGTCAAAATGGCCGATCTGACATCGGTGCTCACTTCTGTTATGTTTTCTCCCTCTAGTAAAATGTTTATCGGTGGACTGAGCTGGCAGACCTCACCAGGTAAGGGAGGGAGGGGGGGACGTCTGGGTCCCCCCCTTCTTGGCTTCTTTATTGCTCTTTGTTATCCCGGCGTAGGAGCCCCCCCCCGCCATTGGCTCCCCACTTCTCCTGTGCAAGGTTATTTTTTTAAATAGCAAATCCTTTCCGAGCCCTCTACGCGACCTCTGTTGCCGAATTTCCCCCGCGTGTGCAAAAAATGCAAAAACAAAACAGAATAACAACAGAAAACTACTTTTGGTTTTTGTCCTTGATCAAAATTTGCATTGCTTTTTTTTTCCCACACCTTCTCTCCCCCCCCATCTCTCTCTTTCTCTCTCTACAGATAGCCTTAGAGACTATTTTAGCAAATTTGGAGAAATTAGAGAATGTATGGTCATGAGAGATCCCACTACGAAACGCTCCAGGTAAACCATTCTCTTCTGGATTTTGTCTTTATTTTAGAACAAAGTTTAAGTGTTATTTTTGGAGGTGTCTTCGGAAGTAGCTAAGCGGATTTAGAATGGGGCTCAGGCATGTGGCTAGTTTCGAACGTCGCTCTATTCCACCCCCCCCCACGCCCGCCCCCATAACCCGAAAGGTTATTGTTAATTGGGGCTGAACTCTGGATACAGAGATGCCCATCTCTCTGCTTTAAGTCCTTTTCCCGTCGCTTCTTTTTCTCCTGTTTAAAATGACATTCAGCTTCATTCACTTTCTACATAGTTTTTTTTTTTTTTTTTTTAATGTATGCTTTCCCCATACTCCCAGCTCCCTAAACTCTTCAGCCCCTTTTAGAAAGCTGGATGAATCTCTTCTGAGCGCCGGGTTTTCTTCGGAATAAAACAAAGCGTTAAGAAAGGGAAGGGGAGGAGGAGAGGAGAAGGAGACTGAGGTGGCGAAAGAGTGGAGACACCAGCATTTTCCAAGTTACCTCCACCCGCCCTGCCCCCGTTCCACTTCCCCGGTTAACCTTGATGTGTTTTCTTGCGAGGCGGAGGGGGCTTGGGGGAGGGCTGTGGGCCGCGGGGGTGCGAGGGGGCAACTTTGGCTCTCCATTCTGCAGGAGGGCTCACTCCTTGTTGCTTTCAATGGTGTCACATTTTCTTGTTTGTTTTTCTCCCTCTTTGTCTCATTTCAGAGGCTTCGGTTTCGTCACGTTCGCAGACCCAGCAAGTGTAGATAAAGTATTAGGTCAGCCCCACCACGAGTTAGATTCCAAGACGGTAGGTTGCTTTCTGTTGTTGTTGTTGTTCGCCCCTGTTCAGGACCCATCTGGGCACTGACAGCCCCATTTAAAGGGACCGTGCTTTCTTTTGCTTCTGTGCTGAGAACTGGGTAGTGATAAGCAGGGCTCGAGAGTTGGCTCTAAAGTTTGATGCCATGGCTGGGTTTGGGGTTTTCTGTTTAGAGCCTGTCCCACTGCAGCTCCAGATGCTGCCCAGCGTAGGCCTGGGGGAGGGGTCTGCGTGGGGAGAGGCTATCTACGGGGCCCAGGGACCATCAAGGAAACTGCACCACAGAGCAAAGGCAACTTTTCTTTGTCAGCCGAGCACAGCCGCGTTACCAACTGTGGCTGTGGGAATTGGCTTTTAGAAGGCACAGCCCGCTTCGTGGCCAGCTGGGAGGGACTGGGGCCGGGAGGAGGGAGGAAGGCGAGGGGGCGCTAATCCCAGGTCCAGGCAACAGGTTTCTCCTGGGGCACCTCGGATTTGGAATGTGGTTTGAGAAGGGAAGGAGACCCCCCAGAGCCACGCTGGGTGACTCCAGTGGGTGACTCCAGATGGAGTGAAATCTAACACTGATAAGGCCTTGGGTTTCCAAGTGATTTGGTTTTGCTTTTTTCCCTCAGATCCTTTATTTTTTGAGTGTGGGTACTTTTATAGCATTAGAAGGTTTCAGAGACTGGTGCGGAGAGGGGGAAAAGTCTCTAGGTAGAGATTAGAGAAGAAGGGAAGAAAGATATTTAGTACGGTCATGGGGGCGGGGGCGGACAGCTCGTAGTGTTTTATTTAGATCCCTGTGTTGGCTTTATGGCTCTCCCTTCCCTTTATGCCTGTTAGAATCTCCCTACAGTTTTTATACATCCGCCAAAGCAGGGGCCCCGAGGTGACATTGGGATGCAGTGCTGGGCTGCTTGGGACTGTGGTAGGTGGTGGGGCAAGGCAAAGGACCAGGGTCTAGTCCCAGCTGCCCTTTATGAATTTGGGCAAGTTGTTCCCTGCCTCGGCGGGGCCTCAGTTTCCTTTTCTGTAAAATACAGGAGTGGAACAGGGTGATCTTCCAAGCCCTTTTTGGCTTTAACATTGAGGAGAAGGGAAAAAAGGGAAAGAAACCTGGCCACCTTTGGTGCACGTGAACTTATTTTGCAAATTCACCTTGTCTCTCTGATCAGAGGTCAGGTGCATGTTCACTAGCCCTCAAGAGAGGACCCCAGGCGCTTTAAGTTGCTTTATCAATTGTGCTGGACTTGCCATAGCTTTTGCAGCCCAGCCTTTTTGCGCTTTTAGATAATTTAATTTTAGGGACAGTCATTTGTAGGGTGATAATGGATGTCTGAGGAATGTGTTTTTCCCCTTGACTTCTTGGTCAGACGTTTCAAAAAGCTAGCAAAATTAAAGAGGAAAATATTTCAAGGCAAATTCAGGAATTTATTATTCACTCCGTCTCCCCACCCTGGGTAGGAGAAATAGTATGTGGTTTCTATGGTGCCTGGTGGGTCATAGTCCTCAGTATCAGGTGCAAAACGTGCGGTTTTCCCTCCCTAATTGTTTGTGGATATGTTTTGGTCACTATTATTTAGTATAACCTAGATTTTGACTTTGTTTCAACGTTCAGTGCAGGAGGCAGAAGCGGTTGGTTTATTGACATGGAAACGAGGATCTTGTTTACCGTTACCTTAAAAGCTTTGTTTAGGTAACGGCCATTCACATCCAAAATAGTACCCTAGTCTTTTCCTAGAGGATTTGTAGCTACAGTAAGTAGAGCTGTACCTAACTAACTAATGTTTTAATTTTTGGTAGTTTTCTTTTTTGTTTGTTTAAAAAAAAAAAAATAGTTGACAGGGATGTGCAAAAGGTTGGGATTTGCCATACTTACCTTGACCTGTCCTCTCCTTTGGAGATTTCAGCGTGTAAACTTGCACACTGAAAAACGCGCCTGGTGGTCTGACACGCTGTTATCCCAAACCCACCATCCAGGAATTCTGAATTGGCTTTGAGTTTTGTAATTTTTTTTTTTTAAAGATTTATTTATTTGACAGAGAGAAACACAGCGGGAGAGGGAACACAAGCAGGGGGAGTGGGAGAGGGAGAAGCAGGCTTCCCGCCGAGCAGGGAGCCCGATGCGGGGCTCGATCCCAGGACCCTGGGATCATGACCTGAGCCGAAGGCAGACGCTTAACGACTGAGCCACCCAGGCGCCCCGAGTTTTGTAATATTAGATATTTTTGAGTGTTCCACTTTCTTCAGGGCTTCCTATCCCTCCCCCCCCAGCTCCTGGTCTCTCTCCCGGCATGTCCCTCACCTTTTACTCCACAAACAAGGTGACTTCTTACTGCAATTGTGTGCTGGTCAGCTCAAAAGCCGTATTCTGGGGGGAGTGTTTATAAAAAGACACATCTGTCTTATGTTTGGTCAACAGAATGGAAAATCCACACCTGTTGTATCTCTCTTGTAGACAGCTCTAGTCAGTGCTGAGTACACCTGTAGATGCGGTAATGTTAATCTTGATGAGAGGTTAGTTTCCTAGATCAGAGATTTTTGTCTATTTTAGTTTTTGAAAAGTAATCCCTCATTTCTCAGGTGATGTTTAAAGGTAAAAAAACATGCTGTGGACTTGTATTGGGTCTTTAAACCACCTTAAGACAAGTGGTAAATCTTTGTCTTACGAGCTGGGGTGTCCTAAGGGATGTAGGTCTGGGCACAAGAACTCTCTGGTGTGCCTTGCGCCCCCGCCCCCCACTCTGTGCTTCATCCCACAGCCTTACTCTTTTTGCTGCCCCACAGCAGAACTGAAAACAAGGTTCAGGTTTACATTTTAAAAGGGGAAAATTGTATTATGAAAGCCAGAGCCTGTAAATAAGTGACTTGTAGCAATATTCTGTGCAGAGTTTTACCCAAAGATTTGTTAACATTTAGAAGTCTAATGAAAACCAATAATGGGGATTTTTAAAATTCTTTCCCTCCCCATATTTTCTGTCCAACAACTTCCCCCACCTCGGATCAGCCTATTAGATTCAAATACTTCCATGGGAATTGTTTTGAGTTTTAAAGCCATTCCCCTTTTGAGAATCATGTGTTCTGCTGAGTGTCTGATCTGGGGGTGGAGGATGTTTTTCCATTCTGATTGGGGTTGGGGTAGGAAGAATACCCTAATTGTTACAGTAGATTCCTATTTCTTTTTTTCAGTAATTTTTTCTTTTTTTTTTACCCTCTCCCCATGATGACCTTACTTTTGTAATATGGGTTTAGGTTGCTGATAGATTTCTACACTCTGTGATTTTTAAAATCCGGGTAGTTTTAGTGGATGTGTTTCCTTTTATTGTAGTATTATTATTATTTTTTAAGAACTGGGTTAGGTTCCATAGCTTTTGACACCTGCTTCCTCTTGTGGTCTAACTACAGAATGAACTGTCTTTTTGGCTAACCTAGGTAACTGTACTTTTGCCAACATGAATGAATGAACTCAAGCCATAGTGTTGGATGTCCATGGGGAGTTTTTGGATGTTGATGATTTAAAAAATTTTTGGAATCCCCTTTTCCATCTGCCTTGTTTAGTTATCATTGGGGAGAAGATCTCCTATCCAGTTACCGACTGCTGAAAAATTCTTATGTTTAATTTTTCAAGTTACGATTTTTTTTTTCAGGGATGATGGTCCCATCTTTTCTCCCAGTCCTGCATTGCAAATTAGATGCAGGTACCATTCAATGTCCAGTGTCTGCAGAAGAGAAGCCCTTGCTTAGATAAGAACATGTGAGATCTGATTTATTAAGAACATCACACGTTGAAATACATGGTAGGACACTTTAGAGAGGCTCCTTTATTTGTTACATTGTGGGAGGGATGAGTAAAGTTTGGATCAAAGTTTAAGGAACTTTTGAGTTGCCTGAGAAGTTACTAAAAGCTGGGTTATAAGCCTGAGAAATGAGTGATTAATAATTAGGTGATTAATCATAATTTTTTCTCCCTCTCCTCCAAATACTGGAATTGACTCTTTCTTTCCCATTTCCCCTCCCCCCCTAGATTGACCCCAAAGTTGCATTTCCTCGTCGGGCCCAACCCAAGGTAAGTAGGAGAATCAGTAATAGGATTTTAGCACTCAGAGATGGTTGCCAAGGATTTTGAATTTCAAACAGAGTACTGGCAATCAAGTGTTGAAAGCTGGTGCCTTCAGGTACCTTCACGGTATCAGCATGTGGCTGTGAGAGTCCAGGCCAGGCAAGGAGCTCCGCAAGATAATCGCGTGCGTCTGCAATTTAGCCATCCCGAGGTGGGTTCTGAGCATCCAACAGGGGGCAGGGGCAAGCCTGATCCTTCATGGCAGGACAGAGCTCCATGTGTTGCAATATTTATGCAAATGTTCTATTTACTTTTTAAGCGTTGCCAAGATCCTATCAGGAAAACTTGGACATTTCCTTGTGACTGTCTTTTGGAGGGTTCTCTTTTGAGGCCCTTACAACTTGGAGTTTATGGAGAGGAGTAGAATTTGAGTAAACAGCTTGTCTTTCCTTGGAGAAATGACTTTGTAGACCCATAAAGCCCTGAATCTGACAGAGGAGGCATTGGATGTCTTGGTTTCAGGTTGGTGGGATCAATCAGGGCACATTTTCTTTTTTTTTTTTTTAAAGATTTTATTTATTTATTTGAGAGAGAGAGAGAGTGAGCATGAGAAGGGGAGCGGGAGAGGGAGAAGCAGACTCCCCGCCAAGCAGGGAGCCTGATGCGGGACTCGATCCCGGGACTCCAGGATCATGACCTGAGCTGAAGGCAGTCGCCCAACCAACTGAGCCACCCAGGCGCCCCAGGGCACATTTTCAAGTGCTGGGGCCTGGGGGAGAAGCTCTGAGTCTGTTATAACCTTGGAGGAGTGTGGTACTACAAGATTTGCTTAGAGGGTCGAGATCGGCCTTCACTCTTTCACAAGTGTGTGGCTAACATAGTTTTCGCTGAGCTTGCCAGCTGTGGGGATGAGAACAGAGCTACCTGGAACCGAGGGTGAAATTTATGGGCTTAACATGTTAAAATCACACGTTTTAATTATACTTTTTTCCTCCCTATGTAATATTGAGAGGTAGACTTTTCCTGTAGCTTGTGGCCTTGGCATTCTTTTAGGGAAGGGGGGAAAAGGTGAAGCGTCGGATTACAGGTCATAAAGGGAAAGAGTTGTTGCTTTTGCAAATTCCATTTATTTCTTCAAGCATAGTCTCCCACAGGTGGAACCTTTTAATTGTGTAAGGGGAGGGATGAAGCACTTTAATGAAGAAAAAGTTGGCCCTTGTGGATGACATTTTGAGAATTTCAGGTCTGGAGCCTGCCATGTGATCCATCCTTCCTTCCTTTTTTTTTCCCCCATGTAATTTTTCTTTTCCTTTCTTTTCTTTCAAAGGAAACACAAATCTCTTAAGTAAATAGAGCAAAAATACTTTCTTAAGGCATTTTTTTCCCCTAATGATTAAGCAAATAATAGGAATCAATGAACCGAAGAGGTTAGATTATTTCTGTACTGAACACAAACTTTCGGACTGCTAACTGTGTAAAGGTTGCTTTTCAAACTGTGTGTGATCCTTGACATTTCAGAGGCTTTCCAGAATTAGCAGTATTTCCTGGGTTTGGAAGAATTGCTGTTTCTTCCATAAGTGTGAATCTTCAAATTTCCAGGTTAGTCATTTGATCACCCAGAACTAGGATCAGATTAACCTAGAAGGAAACTGGAAAAATCCCTGACTTGGTCAAACCATGGGTTTGACCTGTTTTCTCTTCCCTCTTGTTGCCCACCCCTCACTCCCACCACTTTTTTTTTTTTTTTAAACCAGGAAAGCTGTATTTCATTTTAACATACTCTGGCATTTGGTTTTTCGGTGATGCATTCAACTTGAAAATGAGATACACTATTTCTCGAACTTGTCAAAGTGTCCACCTCCCCTCCCCCACCCCCAGCCTGGAGTCTGGGATGTTTTAGGTGGATTGTCAGACTTTTAGATGTGAGCAAATATTATACCAGTTGGGGGAGGACATCTTTCTGTGGAGTTCTAGAGATTGCATAACAATACCTTGCTTTTTATGGCACCCTTTCCCAAGGACTTTCCTATCTGTTATCTCCATCTGCATCTCAGGTCCCAAGACACTGAGCAAACCACCTCTCCCGGCCTGTTTGCTCTTCTGTAAAAGGTGAGTGATGGGGGTAGCTCCCTCACAAGGTTGCTGTGGAGAATGAAAGAGCCCGGCACGGGGTGAGGGCCTCATCCATCCCCATCGTCACCATTATCATTATTTTTGTTGGTTTAATCATCTTTCTTTTTGTTATCTTCAAGTGCAGCAGCTTGGGTTCGGATCCCGGCTCTGCCCCTCATTCGCTGCGTGGATGTGGGCAAATCGTTTGGTTTCTTGGAATCTCATATACTCCATCTTACTGGGTTTTTTTGCGGATTAAATAAATTAATAAAGGTAAAGTGCTTAAAAAACAAAAAGACCTGGCGTGTGGTAATACCATATATATTACCTGCTGTTTTTACTGTTAATGTTGTTAGGCTCTCATACCAGTCGCCAAGAGAGGTCTAGTGATCATAATGACGTTAATTGAATTTATGTGGCAGGCACTGTTGTAGGGTCCTTACGTATATCAACTCATCCAGTCTTCGCCTGTGTCCTGAGAGGTGGGCACTAGGATTATGTCCAATCTATAGATGAGAAAACCGAGGCATACATGGGCTGAGAAGTGGGGTACGGGCAGCCTAGCTCCAGAACCGGGCCCCTGCCCGGTAAGCTATCCTGTGGCGGGATCTAGGGGTATCACCTGTCCGTTCGGGTGGAGGACGCAGCGCAGGGTGGTGTTCAGGCTGTGAGGAGCTGAACCGTAGCCAGCGTGCGCGGACTTTGAAGGTCCCTGGTTGGGTGATTCACCCAGCCCCCGTGATGTCATCCCGTGGGGTGACTCTGGCTGGCCGTGTGGAGGGGCACCCTTTCACAGGGCTCTGGGCTTTGCTCAGCTCCAGGGAAGCGGCTGGGGAATTGGCGAGGTGTGTGCTCGTTGGGAGTTGGGGCAGGATGGGGAGAAAGTGCCTTTCTTGTCAACGGTTCTTTTCTGATAGAATTTGAGCCCGGCCACGGGGATTTCAGACTGAAGTTAGTGTTGGAGGCCAAACTCTGGCTGGCAGGGAGTCTAGGAGTTTAAGTCACCCTTACTTATTTTTTGTTTATCTCCCTTCAATAAAACTTCTGTGTGTGGACGTGTCGGGGTCCCGGTGCGAGGTGAACTGCGCCCCTCCTCGGGGGCTGGGTGAGGAGCTTGTCAATGATACAGCGTGGGTTTCAGTTAAAATGCATTTCTCTGCTTTCTGGCCGTCTCTCTTTGCTAGCACTCGCCAGAGAAATATTCGTGGAGGTGTTAAAACAAGACTAGTGGAAAGAAACTGTAACTTAATACGAAAGCAAAGCCGTGGCAGTGAGGAGCAGATTTCATATTAGTACTGTCATAATATTCTTTAATGTATCATATAAATAAAAATCCGTTTTGACCAGAATTTTAATGAGCGATCCGAAGGAAGGGCTTTGAATCCTGCAGTTCATTCATCCCCCTTTGCGATGTAAATGTTCACCTCTCAAGTGAAGTATAATGGGGCTTTATTAACTAGTCGAGGGGCGACTCTTTGGAGACTAGTGGCCGTTAATTAGCAAAGTACATTTTGATCAGAAGACGATGGGTCCGTTCTGTGCCTTCCTATTTCGCTGGATGATTATTTCATTTTGTAAAATATGTAAGAGTTTCTTCCCCTCTGTCTTTTAAAAAATTAAAATGGTCGTGCTATTCTAAAAAAGATGACTTAATTTGAAGCCGTTGGAGGAACGGGCATGATTGGGATCAATCATGTCATATCATTTTGTCAGTCCCTTTGGGCAGAAGCGTTGGCTGCCTGCAAGAGTTTTGCTCAAGCTCGTGGGTTCTTCTTCTCGTGTGGAAAAACCAAGAGGCTCTCGAACCTCTTAGGGGCACGGGCGAGTCTGGGTGTAACTCCCCATCTGCCCTACTTATCCTCATGTGTCATAAAGCTTTCTCTGCTCCCCAGGTTGCCATTTTCCTCCTTATGTGTCAGAGGCCAGAACCTTATCTGTTGATCCATGGAGATCTCATTTCTTCAGCCTATTTCCAGTTGCTTCACTGGCAGCTGGGTGACCATGGGCACCCCACGTGGGCCCCTCTATGCCTCAGTTTCTTCCTCTTTAAAACAGGGGTGTAGTGCCCAGCATGGGGTGGTTTTCAGCGTGAATGCAGAGCTCTTTGCTGGGAGCCTGGCACAAGGTGGTGCCAGCAGGTGTCTGCTGGTATCATTATTATAGAATTATTTATCATTACTACCATTTTTAAGTCCTCTCCGCGCCCGACGTGGGGCCCCAACCTACAACCGCAAGATCAAGAGTCACGTGCTCTAAGCAGTGAAGCCAGCCAGGCGCCCCGTTATCGAATTATCTTTGTCGAATAAGAAAAGCTACAATGGAAAATGACGCAAGAAGAATCCTGATTGGAACGTAAGCCCCCTGCCTGCTGACATCGCCGGATGCTGACTTCGGTGCTCCAGATGAATCCAGCCCACCTTTTTCAGGGCGGAGGCAGCTGACATGCGGGGAAGTTAGGTTGGCAGCGCCAGGGCACACAGCTAAGTTGTGGCAAGGTTGAGCGAAGCCAGATTTTCCTGCTCCTGTCTCGTGCACTGATGAGGCTCCGGGGCCTGGAAGGTTCTCTGTTACGCATGCATCCGTCCAGATGGGTGCAGCACAGCACGAGTGTTTTACACAGGCACCTCCTGTTCCGGGGGAGTGGTTTCTTGGCAGCTTCTCAAGGGCGGGCGAGGGGTGAGTTCTCGGCATCTGGCCTTCCCCTGCTGCGGTGGGTCGGGTCATTCTAGCTTCGTGCCATCCCGGATGATCTGCGGCTGTCACCTCGCCGGCCACAGTTACCCAGCCTGCCGGTGGGTTTCTGGTTCCCAGCGGGGACGTGGTGGTGTGTGTGCAGCCTTGTCCACAACCTCGAGGACCCTGGGGGATTAGTGGCTTAGCCGCTTTCTTGTCGGGGAGCGCGGCTCCTTCCTGCGTTCCGGTCAGCAGCAGGTGTCCGCTCAGGAGGAGGGGCGCCCCATCCTACAAATGTCCTTTCCCGAGATTCTGCCTTGCCTTGCATGCTTTCCTTTCAGCGTTAAGGTCAGTCTGCCGAGAAGCCGGAGCTCCTCTGTTCTATGTCAGATGTCTTTGGCGGGCAGGTGAGACCCCTCCGCCGCTGCAAGAAGAGAGGAGGAGGGAGGCACTCTCTGAGGAACCAGCCGACCCTCTTGGGTGCCCCCCTGAGGTGGCATCTGTTCTTCCTGTCCTTTTGTGTGTGTTTTTTTTTAAAGATTTTATTTATTTATTTGAGATAGAGAATGAGACAGAGAGAGAGAGCATGAGAGGGGGAAGGATCAGAGGGAGAAACAGACTCCCTGCTGAGCAGGGAGCCCGACGCGGGACTCGATCCCGGGACTCCAGGATCATGACCTGAGCCGAAGGCAGTCGCTTAACCAACTGAGCCACCCAGGCGCCCTCCTTTTGTGTTTTTAAACCTGAACGTTCTCTGGCTGGAAGTCCCAGGAATCCAAAAGGGAGATGTAGTTCATCATCTCTGTTTGCCTGTTTGATCTGGTGTGTTCACTGAATAAGAGCTTGTTTGATTGTTTTTAATTGCTGACTCTGTGCACCCACTTTTGGGGGGATTCAGGAAACCCTCAATGCCCACCAAAGTCTGAGCTTCTTAGCCAGGTAGCTAGGGTCGTTCAAGATCTGTACAAGGTGTGTCTTCTTCCAGCTTACTTCTCAACTCTTCTCCCTTTTGCTGCCTTGAAATTGCACGTTCCCCCTTCTCGGAATAGCTGCCCTTTTGTGCATCCCTACCTGCGCTGTCCTTTCTGCTCTGGCCTGTGTACCACACGCCTCTCTTTCAAAGCCCGACTTGGGTTACCTTTTCCACAGAGCTGTTTCTGCTCTCTCTTCCATGTAGTACTTCTTTCTCTGGATTTCCTTAGCGTTTTACCTTTTCTTTGGTTATGGCAAACTGTAATAATATAATAACAGTAATAATAAGTTAGCAAATAATAAACAGTAATAAATTTGCAAAAAGTTATTGACACACTCGTTAGGCATTGTGCTGGGCACGGATTCATATATTTATCCACCAAACATTACTGAGCGCCTCTGGTGTGCCAGGGCCTGTGTGAGGTTCTGGGGACGGTGTGGAGAATAAGACCAAAAAGTCCCTGCCCTCATGGGGCTTTCACTCTACGGGGACAAATAAGTACTGAGCAAGTGAATGAGTACCTAACATGCTGACAGGTGTGCGACCACAGTAGGGTAAGAGTGAGGGTCGGGCGGGGAGAGACTGTATCTTCCGTGCGTTCACTTGCCGTTCTCGGGCTTTGGGCAATTCTTTACCAAGTTTCTGCTTAGCATCGGGAACTGTGTTAGGCGCTTTGTTCTGAGTTTTATGGTTATTTAGGTTCATGCCTTATTGTCTGCACTGGACAATGAAGTCTAAGGACACAAACATGTTCTATTAATTGCAAAAAAACAAACCTTAGCTTTTGCTGCCGCTCTTCCGCACACCATCAGTCTCCATGGTTCTTGTTTTCAAGGGTCTTAGCTCCTCTGGTTGGGAGGACGGCTGCTACCTGTGGAACAGGAGAGGGTGTGAGAAACACAGCAGAGCAGCAGGAACGGTCTTCAGAGGAAGGAAGAGCTAAGATAGCTTCTCAGAGGAGGTGGTCTTTGCCCCAGATCCTGAGGAACAGGAAGGAGGGAAGAATGGCAGGAATGCGAGGGGCTAGGAGAGGTCAGTGGGCCGCTGCAGCGAAGGGCGTGTGTTGCACGGTGCTCGGGGTGGAGGCGTGGAGAGCAGGCTGGGGCCAGGTTGGGTTGCCTTGAATGCCAGGCAAAGCAAACGAGTCTGGGCTTTATTTGGCATGTGCTGGGGAACCTGTTTTGTGTGTGCACGATCACGGAGATGCCCCGTACAATGTTCTGAGCTCTTTTGGATCAGTCTGGAAGCTGGGGATAGGACTGTGGCTGGTGTGGTTTCATGGAGACCCTCCCACCCTGGATCTGTGCCTTCTGCGTCATTCATACTGTGTTCTCTCTGGCTGCTGAGCCTTCTCTAGGAGTGATGTTCTTGGCAGATACCACCCCTGCCCTTTGGGGTGTGCGGCAACCGCGAAGAGCTCTGTCCTTCTCTTGCTTCTATGTTTTCCCTTCCTCACCTCTTTACCTTCTTAACTAGGGGCCATGATAGAGACGAAATTCCAAAGTTCTATACTCTGTCCTCGTCTAAGCCGTGTCATTGACCTTGCTGTGTGTAGACAACGAGATGTCATTTCTTGGTGCGGAAATCACAGATTGTCTGTGTATCACCAGGGTGCGTGCCCTGGGGCTCAGACCTCTGAAGCCTGTGCCTTCAGAGGTCTGCTTGGGGTCACCTTTCTCTCAGAGTGGCTGCCTGGTGTGAGGAACATGAGATTTTGGAATCATGACCTGTGCCTACCGTGTGATACGAGAGGTGTGAGCAAGTGTGGGCTGGGGCCTGAGCACCTCGTGGTACATGGTAGGGGCCCAGGCTCTAGGGCGGTTGGTCCCGCTGGGGCAGGTGTCCCACTGGGTCCCACGTATACAACAAGCTATCTCTGTTCTCTCTCTCTTTCAAGGGTAGGTAACATCAAGTTCCCAGGGATCTGGGAAGTTATTCCCAGGGTGTGTGTCCGCCTGCTATACTTCTTTATTTTATTTTGAGACCTTCAGTGATGAAGAAGAAAAATCCTAACCCACAATTATGGCTGTTACTTGTTGTGAGTCAGTATGTTCGAGGCACTGCGCTAAGCCTCTGTATGATTAATCTCCTTTAACTTCATCCTGACACCAGTCCTTTGCAGTGCTTTGTGTTTTCTCTGCCTTGCAGAATGGTAAACCGAGGCCCAGGGAGGGTAAGCAGCTTTCCTGGGGCCGTACTCCTAGGAAGGGTCAGTGTTGGCCTTTGGACCAAAGTCTGTCTGAATTCCAAGTCTCAGCTCTCTTAACCACAAAGCCCCGCTGCATCCAATAAAATCTACCCCCGCTGTGGGTAGATTTTTAGGTTCGTGTGCTTTGCCCGACTGCTGTAAAGTGCTCAGGCCGAGGAATAGGAATAGATTTTGGTGTAGTCTGGCCAGGAAGCTTCAGTTTAGTTTCCATTGCTTACCAAGAAGGTAAGAACCTTCTTGGCACAGTTGAATGCCACTTCCCAGCTAGGGAATTGTGGACAAATCGTTTAATGGTGTTGTGCCTCTATTTCTTCACCTGTAAAATGGGGGTTTTCACAGCACTTCCATCCTAGATTTGTTCAGGAGATTAAATGGGTTATTGCACACGAAGGGCCTAGGGTGACCCAGTATAAGCATTGGTTGTCTGTTACTGTTCCCAAAGACGGCACTGGCTAGATTGTACGAGGACCTTACCTAGCGGCTTGTGGGTACTGTTGTCCTTCCTAGGGGTGATGGATAGAATAGCACGTTGAGATTCGGGAAATGGTATGTCCAGTGGCTGGGTCTGCTCCCAGGGTCCTGGCTCTTGAAGGGGAGATAGCGTGCGTCCTTCGTCTTGGGGTTGCTTGGTGGGCATGGGGAATGCATTTCCTTTTCTGTATGTGATAGCTGTGTTTTTAATGCCTTTGAGAGTGAAGTCCTGGGGAGCAGCTAGGGGACAGCTAAGACACTGCTGTGTGAGAGGTCTCTCCGTGAGCCTTCTCTCTCCCAGGCCTGGTTTTTATCTGCCTGGGGGTAGTTCCACCAATGACTGATCTGAAAGCATCGCATTCATTTATTTGTCACTGACTGTGACAGGCAAGTTAATGCTAATGGATTCTTTTTTTAGCCTGTTGTCTGGGATGAGTTTCTCCCAAATGTCCTGAAATCTAAGGCATTAGGGGAATGTGTAACTTTTATGGCAAGGGAGGATTTAAAAGATAAATCGGGTTTTGTGTGCAAGGGTCTTAAATTTAGGTTAGGGGCGAGAGCGGCCAAGGAGGGGATGTTGGGGCCAGCCCAGAATCTTCTTTTTAAGAAATCCATTCGGAGCTCTAAATTGCTGTTTCTGTTTCAATTATGTGACAATTTCAAGGGTTTAGAAAAATCTAATAAAATGGTCTTGA